AGATGGTGACAGCAGTCACGAAATTAAAAGACGCCTGCTTCATGGGAGAAAAGCAATGACAAACCTAGACAGCATCTTAAAAAGCAAAGACATTACCTTGCCAACAAAGGTCCCTATAGTTAAAGCTATGGTTTTCCCAGTAGTGATGTATGGAAGTGAGAGCTGGACCATAAAGAATTGGCACTGTCGTTATGACCACCTGCCCCGGGTGTAGCCAGGATTTCTTTTATGGGGGGGGGGGAATTAGGGTTGCCATATTTTGAAGAGCAAAAAAGAGGACGCCGTGAAGATTCTCATTTTAAATACGCCTACTATATGTAGGCTATAGAAGCTGTGATATATTGCTGGGGGGGGGGCAGAAGATGAGAAAAGATGGGGAAAGCAAGTCTTCAATCACCAGTCTTGTCTAGGACTCATCCAGAAAGTATAGCCAGAGACATGAAAAAGAGGATGTGTCCTGGAAAAAGAGGACACACGGCAACCGGGGGGGGGGGGGCAGAACTGAGTTACCTGCGACACAATTGGTCAGTTAAGTATTTCTTTTTATTTACTTGATTAGGGGGGCAGTTCCCCCCCGAACCCCTGGCCACTCCACCTGCAACCAGGGGCGGAGGAAGGGTGGTGCGGTAGGTGTGGGGCCGCCCTGGGTGTCCCCACTGAGGGGGGTGACAAAATGCCGGGCGGCACTCACCATGGGGCCTGCAGTGAGCCCAAGGCTCTGCGCTTTCCAAACACTTTGCCCACTGCCTCCCCCCCCCCCCAGCTGAAGGGTGACTGAGTGGGAGGAGGCAGGCAGACTCTGGAGGCCCCACAGTGCGCCCTGCCCCTATGGACACCTTGCCCCTCCCTCACCTGCCCCTATGGGCAGCTTGCACCCCAGGCGCCCAAGCGGCTTCCTCCGCCGCTGACTGTCCCTGGCAGTAATACTGGTTTTAGCCCTCTCACTGGTCAGAGCTGAAGTTGGGATTTACAACTTTAAAACGAGATGCTACAAATTTTCCCTTGTGATCTCCATAGTAGACAATTTTAAATGTTGCTTGTAGATACAGAGGGGGGGGTAGACAGCTTTAAATTTCTTAGCATTTTCTTAAAGCATTTTCTTAAAGCGATAGGCTATGCATTCTGGGGGCCCTGGGGCCCCTCCCCCAAGGAGAACCTCCAAAAAAGCACACCGTGGAGGAGAGTTTCCTGCCTGTCACTCAAAGAAGAATTCAAACTCAGGCTGCAGTGTCTACCAAAATCTTTAATGTTCAGATCAGTGCGATACTTGGGCAAAATGTCCTTAAAAGGCACAGCAGATTCTACACATAGCCAAGCAAACAAAGACATGGACCCAGGAATGAGACATACCCTGGCTTAGGAGCTAACTCCTCTTAAGCCCATAACCCCCCAAAATTTTTAGGGGGCCGGGAACCCCCCCCAAAAAAACTGTTGATGGCCATTGCCATTTAATTGTGTGTGGTGTGTCATGTGACTATGTAGGGCAGGGCTTACCGCCCCCCCATATTTTATTCAAGTTGGCCCCCCAGCAACCCTGTTATTAGGGAGTGGAGCCGGCACTAATTTCTCCCCCATGCGCAGTGATCCCATGTTGAAAACAAACCCATTGGTATCCCCTGTATTAATGCGCCAAGGGACTATTTTATGTGTCCGTATGACCAACAGGTGGTGGAAGGAGCGAGCCAGAATCTAGTGAGTGAGACTGTCCCTGGCAGTAATACTGGTTTTTGCCCTCTCCCTGGCCAGAGCTGAAGTCTCACTGAAGTTGTTATTTACAACTTTAAAAAGGGATACAACAAATTTTCCCTTGTGATCTCCATAGTTGGCAGTTTAAAATGTTGCTTGTAGATGATAGAAAGATAGACAGACAGACAGAAGCTAAATAGATTCAGTAACTCCCTAAAAAGTGTTAGGAGACGCAATACATTTTAAATTTAAAGGAAACAAAGAAAATAAGAAGACCAACAAAGAATTAATCATAGTAAAACAGGGAGAGTAAATTCTGGACAGATGCTAGACTTTGAGAAAGCCCCCAAAAGAAAGCTTAGCCAAGAAAAATTTAAACTGAAAACTGAAAACTCATAGAAAACACCAAGATGAAGATTTTAAAGAGAATCAAGAAAAGCAGATACACCTGATGACTAGAAAGGCCAAGGGAAAATGAAGATACATGAAGGAATGTGAGGGGCAAAATCAAGTTTATTTCCCTTTCGACCAACAAGTCTTTGGGTGTACAAAGGAGCAGAGGAAAGGGTGGGTGGAGATGAAGTCTGCTTCAAGCAGAGTGAAGAATAATTGCAGAAAATAGAAGGCTTTTCTTTTAAAAGGCAACTGGAGAAGCCATTTCATAAAAAGAAGGCTGGCATTTCTGTTGCCGAAGTTATTATTATCATTACTGTTGTTACTATTTATTGAATTTCTATACTGCGCTATACCCGAAGGTCTAAGGGCGGTTCACATAAAGTATCAAATGCACCAAATCGAAACAAAAAGAACGACCCAAGAACGGGTTTCCAGAGCAGAGACAGCAGGAGTCAGGCTACCCCTGTCCAGAGAGGGGCGCAACTGGGCCACCAGCTGAAGCTGATGGAGGGCACTGGGGGTCACTGAGCGCCTTCCCTTGTCTCTTGACAGAGGTGCAGGGCGACCAAGGCCGTTTCCGTGCCAAAGGCAAGCCTAAACCCTGATGGAAATGGACCCAGAAAACCAGCTTCTTCCAAGAGCACCTGGATCTGGTCTGCAACCACTCGCTCCAGAACCTCACTCCAGAAGTTGGAAAAACCAAGACGGGTAAGATTTTAACACAGGTAAGACTTAGAAGTGAGAAGGGTAGGGGGATCTAGGGGGATCCAGGGGGATAGAAAGCTGTGCATGCGATAAAGAGCAAAGCAGAGGCGCAGAAGACAACACAGTTCCATTTAATGTCATTTTAGCTCAGGTTGCCTTGTTGACAAAAATGCTTTGCAGCCATTTTGTGGTAGCTTAGTGGGGACTAGAGATAAGCTCCTTCACTAATGGGAAGAACTTCCTTTCATTTATAATGTGGCTTCCCAGGAGTAGAATAACAAACCCTCTTGAGCAGCAGGCTTGAAAGTTATGGCATTTGGCATATGAAGCCAAACAAATTGTACTTACTGGGCAACTGCAGAAGAGGGTCACCAAAATATTGTTGAGTTTTTGTTCCTTCCGAAGTGTATAAATCCAGAAGGTTCCAAACATGCCAGCATTTTGCATCCTCGCCAGTAATTCTGTTCCCAGGGGTATTTAGGTATTTAGAATACCCATTTTAAAAGCTGATGCATCAAACTGCTTCTTTTGTCTGTAACAGTTGCCTTGCTGATTTCAGTGTGAAAAAGCAAATAAGGCATTTTGAAGAAGTGTGCATGCACACGAAAGCTCATACCAAGAACTAACTTAGTTGGTCTTTAAGGTGCTACTGGAAGGAATTTTTTTTGTTTTGACTATGGCAGACCAACACGGCTACCTATCTGTAACTAAGGCATTTTGAGGGTGAATCTACTGATGGCAATGGGAGAGGTGGCCTGGTAGAGGCCTTGGAGTGAGTAGAGGTTTTCACCATTTTGCCAGCCATTTTTAAGCAAAAAAAGTCCAGCAAACATTTAAGCACAAACATATTCACAATTAGGAAGGATGAGCCGTGACCATTTTTTCCTGTACATAAAGGGCAGAATTTTTTTCTGCTAATGGTAAGGCTGAAATGACTGAGAAAATATTTGAAATCTTATGAATCCCGACTCTCTGGCCATTTTTACTCATACATAAGGGGGTGGCTGATTGTTCCACTAATGACCAGAGAGGGCCACACAAAATCATATTAACCCACATTTGTGAAACATTTTGGAATAGAGGTCTGTACCCTTCAATCCTGTAGATAAAGGAGGCATGTAGCTCCCAATTTTCTTTGCCTGGGGTACATGTATGATTGTTTAATGCAGGGAACATGATCCATAAATGCTGAGACTATTCGAAATTTAATTTGACCCAGATGGTATTACTGGCTTTTTTGTGAAAACTTGCACAATAGGGTTGATAGTTGCTGGGTTTCCAACAAATACAAAAATCAGGATCCTCACCAGTACTTCTGTTCCAAAGGTAATAAATTTTTAAACCTGCTGTAGTGAACTGCTTATTGCCTGTAACCTCTCACTTGGTTACCTTCAGCTGCAATCGTAGCTTCTGTTAATAAAACATTTGAATTATCAGAGGTGGCACTAATAACTAACAAGTAATCTCTATATGCTCTATCGTAATCATAGCAGCAATAAAGTTGTGTGTCTTCTGGCTGAAGGTGAGTATCTTGTGCTTGGCTGAGGGGAAAATCTCTGTTGTGTTCTGCCTGCAACTCTTTGTACAAAGATTCTTTCAGGTCGCAGTGAGGGGGACCATTCAAGCACCCTGAGCCTGTTGGAGAAAAGGTAGGCTCTAAATGGAATCATACATCAAATATGCAAACTAAATATTCCAAAGAGCTTGTATTGAGCAACATTGGTTATTCAATCCCTGTTTCAGAAGAGCTGCAAACTCGAAAGCCTAATGCAGTCACTCTGCGTGCTTCTACCTGGAGGGACTTCTCTTGTCGGGACACCACTGCAGGGGAGGCCCTTTCCTGTGCCATCACCACACAATAAGGTACATCTTTTGGTGGGACGGCCATCCTTGTTTGGTTCCAGCTTTTTTTTTTACAGACCTCAGAGAGCTACCTGTGCCGGAGGCAGATCTGCTCCATTGACAAAAGGCAGTGTCAGAGCTTTTGATCCATCAGGTGAACATCTGCAGTGCAGGATTGAGAGACACCTGCGTCTTGACTGCGCTGCTTTAGGTAACCGGCTGTTTTTGCTCCTGTGTCTGGAGGGGAGGGCTGCTGAAGACCCTAGTCTCTTCCAGGTGCATCTCAGTCACACAAGAAATAGAATTTTGCAAGCCTTCAGGAAACTTAATGGCAAGTGAACTTCACATTCCACAATTCAGTGATCTTTTTCAGTACAATCCTTTTGGGCTGGCTTCTCCATTTCCCCCCGCTTGATCTCTTCACAGTTCTGTCCAAGAGCCCACCACACTCAGGGGAAGCCAGCTCTTCCTGCAGAAGTCAGGTCAGTCAGAACAGCTGGGTTCCAAAAACATTTCTCTGGAATTGGCGGGAATGGGCCGGGGACAAACTAATGAGTCCAAATTGCTTTTCACAGACCAGCAGAAGGAACTTCCAGGCCCATGAATTCACACTTCAGAGGGACAAACAAAAAGGTGAGCATAAAGGCAGAGTTTGGAGACTGGAACCAGTCTCTCTGTTCTGCCCTGCAAATTAATGGCAGTCAACATGGCACTCTGTAACTTAAACACATCTAGGTGAATATCGGATAAAACCTCGATTGTGTTCTGTCTGCAGCTTCATAATTCTTAAGGGTTTTCTTTTTTCCTGAGAGAACATTCTGTATTCAGAGTGTTCTCTCAGGTTTTGCTTTTCACCTTGTTGCATTGGCCAAAAAAAAGCAAAAGACGCTGGTGGTTGGCGCTCCTGGTTTCCAGGACGGGGTTCAAGCCCCTGCGGTGTTCCTGCTTACTTCCAATGCAACCTCTCTCTCTCTCTCTCTCTCTCTCTCTCTCTCTCTCTCTCTCCCCCTTAAGAACTAAATGAAGCAAAGTGCTCCTCTGATGCATCACTGGTGTGTGTCTCAGAGAAGGTGGATTACATGGATGCTTCCCATCCTAGCACTCCTTGCCATAGGGAACAAAATATGTACAGGTGAAACTTGGAAAATTAGATTATCGTGGAAAAGTTAATTTATTTCAGTAATTCAACTTAAAAGGTGAAACTAATATATGAGATAGACTCATGACATACAAAGCGAGATATGTCAATCCTTTATTTGTTATAATTGTGATATTATAGGGTACAGCTGATAAAAACCTCAAATTAACAATCTCAGAAAATTAAAATATTGTGAAAAGGTGCAGCTATTCAATCCATAACACCTGCAATGGGTTCAGTAGGAAGCACAATCATGGGGAAGGCTGCTGACCTGACAGTTGTGCAGAAAGCCGTCATTGAGACCCTCCATAAGGAGGGAAGGTCTCAAAGGGTAATTGCAGAAGAAGTTGGATGTTCCCAAAGTGCTGTATCGAAGCACATTAATGGAAAGTTATGCGGAAGGGGAAAGTGTGGAAGAAAAAGTTGCACAAGCAGCAGGGATGACCACAGCCTGGAGAGGATTGTCAGGAAAAGACCATTCAAACATGCTGGGGACTTTCACAAGGAGTGGACTGAGGCTGGAGTTAGTGCATCAAGAGCCACCATACACAGATGGATCCTGCAGATGGGCTTCAAATGTATTCTTCTTGTCAAGCTGCTCCTGAACAAGAAACAACGTCAGAAGCATCTTGCCTGGGCTAAAGAAAAAAAAGAACTGGTCTGTTGCTCAGTGGTCCCATGTCCTCTTTTCTGATAGGAGCAACTTTTCCATCTCATTTGGAAACCAAGGACCCAGAATCTGGAGGAAGAATGGGGAGGCACACATTGCCAGATGCTTGAAGTCCAGTGTGAAATGTTGATTTGAGGAGCCATGCCATCAGCTGGTGTTGGTCCACTGTGCTTAAATGAACTCGCCCCATTACTAAAACTGGTGGATGTTCACAGCCGTAAAGTAAATGTATCAAAAATTACCATTCTTCTATATGCAGATGATATGATTGTGCTCTCATGAACTAGAATTGGCTTAAAGCGTTTGCTAAATGCCTGTATCTACTATTTGTCTAGAATGAAAATGAGCATGAACTTCAATAAAAGCAAAATAATGGTCTTCGGGAATTCTCGTAAGATATATAGTTGGGTTTTTGGTGGGAAACATATCCAGCAGGTATTCAGATTCAACTGTTTGGGGATCACTTTCCATCACAGGCTCCAGTGCTCCTCACACAGCGCAAGGGCGGTAAATGCCAGCCAGCTGTTTATGCAGGCCATATTGCACTTTTTTGCAACAAGAGGAAACCAACACATCCCTTCTGCCCTCAAAGTTTTTAATGCTAAAGTTAGAGCCAAACTGCTCTATGGAATTTCAGTCTGGATGTCAGGGTTTACCCAGTCAGTGGAACAAGTGCAGGCAGCCTTTCTGTTGAAGATTTTCGCTGTCCCACACTGTGTACCTTACGCAGCCTTGTTGTGTCTAGAGGGAAGCCAACAGAAGCTAGAGACAGTTGCCTGGACGAGTTTTCTTTTATGCTGGCTAAACATTTGTTTTTCAGCAGACAAAGATACTTTACTTAGCAAACTTTTTGTCAGACCCCTTCCCTTCCCTTCTCCAGGGCTACAACTGTTTTGCACAAAGTTGGGGCAACTTGGGCTTTCAGAGGATCTCCTGGGTGCTGTGGCTTTTCCAATCGCCAAGGCCATGTTAAAAGTTAAAGAAAGTGAGCAGTTGGGTCCCACAAGGATCAGAACCGCTATTATTTCATTTATTCATTTTGTGATCTGGAATTAGTGCTGGAGACTATTGAAAAAGGAACTGAAAATGAAACGGTCAGTATTGTAATGTCCCTGTACAGTTCTATAGTGTGGTCCCATTTGGAACACTGTGTACAGTTTTGGGTGCCATCTCTCTAAAACGAATATGGCATAGCTGGAAAAAGTGCAGAAGAGGGTGTTCTCGCTCTGTGTGGGATGGTCATTCTCTTACATGGAGTGTGTGGCTTTGGGGGGGGTGCACAGTGATGGGGATGGTCAATCAATCCTGGTGATCAACAGGGTGATAGATGTGGCAACCAGATTGCTCTTACATCTAGAATTGGGCAACCAAATGATTAAGGGGGCACAGTGCTTTTCCTTTGAGAAAAGGCTGAAGGGTTTGGAAATGTTCAGTCTATAAAAGGTCTATATAAGAGGGTAGCAAACACGATAGAGGTTAGAAAATTAAATAAGATAAAGTGGTTAGAGAGAACTTTTCGTCACTCTCCCAAAATACTGACCTCAGGGGCACCCAGCGAAAGGAAAAACCACTTTATTCCATGAGAGATGAAACTGTGAAGTTACATGCATGAAGATTTGGTGATGGCCACAGGAAAAAAATATTATTGGGACAAAAATTCTGGCCCACTGGTCTTATGTACCCGTTTAAAATTAACTTTGGGAAATTATTCCAATAAAAGAGACCATGCCAATATATAGAGCTTTCTTAGTGACATTTCTGAGCAATTGCACAGAAAGGTAGAGACAGAGACACTGAATTAAAGCTGATCATTTAACATTTTCCTGTATAATTTTATATACATTTGTGCCAAGAGAAAGGAGAAATGGATATGGAAATGACCGGCAGAATCCGAGACCAGGGAGAAGAGTCGGTGGAAGAAGATTGGAAGAAATTTAAAGACTATTTACAGAAACACTGCAAAATCAATGAATGTTAGAATGATGTTGGATTGAAGTTAAGCGGTTTTTAGTAGCAATGTTATAAAGGAATATGTAAAATGGTTTGTTAACAGGTGATAATATAAGGCTATAATATATTAAGATAAAAGATTAAGATAAAATCAAAGAGGGAAAGGATTTGCTGAATTAACTAATTGAACTGGAATACAAAAAAGGGAGGTGTGAGGAGGTCAGGGAAACGAGCAAATGAAAGATAAGATTTGGAAAAACTGATCTGTTTTTAACTGTTTTTACTTTGTATTTTTCTTTTTTCTTTTTTTTCCTTTTCTTATTTTTGTAAAATGTTGAAACTTCAATAAATATATTTTAAAAAAAGAAAGAAAGGAGAAATGGATAGAACTAGCAGGATACACACAGATGATAGGAGAACTGAGAAAGTCAGAGCTTGGGTTCGATATTTAAAAACTATAATTTAAACATTTACTGAACAGTCACAAAGATCAAATATGCACAACTTTCTTTTGCAGAGGTCATCCTACAATTAACTAGCAGCCTCATGCAGCCTTCTCCTCTGTCTGTCCACATGCTCATCACACCTGAAAGCATAATGCAGAGAATTAGATGCTGAACTTACATTCTTCATTCCTCCTTTCATAACAACTTTCCCTAAACATTTATCTGATCTTTTAGGAAGATATTTCAGGCTTTAGGTGCCATCATAACACTAATGTTTCAAAAATGATAACAACAGGGCATTTTTGACAACTGGAAAAGGCACTTCAGGTGTGGTGCGGCGGTTATGAGTGGTGGACTCAGTAGCGAAGCTGCAAGCTCTGGCACTGGGGGCAGAGAGCAGGTGAGTGCGTGGCTTGTGCGCATCCCAGGAGGCATGGAGTGCGTCCCGGGGGCATGGTGCACTGCACGTGGGGGTGTGGTGTGCATCCCGGGGGCATGGCGAGCATCCTGGAGACGTGGTGTGCCGCCAGTGGGGACGTGGCGCCTGGCGCGCCAAGGGAGCGCGGCATGTGTCCGGGCGGGGGTGGCCGCAATGGCACCTCAACAGAATGGTGGTGCCGGGTGCGGTGGGTTCACTCCACACCCATTCCTCCTGAATGAAGAGGCAACTAAATGGGAAAATTGTTCCATCGTGACCTAGCTCTTTGGTCATGATCACCCTGGAGGCAAGAAAGGCATCTATTATGTGGTCATTTATCCAGTTTGATCCTTTCAGTGTGTCTATGTCATAACCATACACACAGATGTTGGCAACTGAACCCACAAGTTACTCGGTTTGTAGACTGAGTGTGTTGAAGGTACAGTTGTGCCATGGGGGAACTGATGTAGAAATCATTGGTTTGCCCAAATACTTCTCACTTTGCGTTGAGAATATGGGGCTTCTATCAAAAGAATCAACATTGGTCACTGTCAAATCCTCTTTCCCACTTTTTGGAGTGGAGGTCATCTGAGGTTGAGTGCTTTCCAGGTCTCTCATAGTCAGTGATCTGTTTTTAAGGAGTCCAGCTCCTCAGCAGCCTGCACTGAATCAGATGCTGGAACTACAGTTATCTTCTCCTTCAGTCTGGAGAACTTTCTTCCTGAGCTACTCTTCTGCCTTTTATTTTGCTTCAACTGTGTGAGCTGCAACCGGCAAGGCTTCCCTGGTTCTGGTGGCATGCCGACAGATTTTTTGGCAGCTATAATATGGTAGCAAGTCCTGGATGATGGGCAAGAGCAGCTCTCTTTTGGAAAAAGGCGGACAACATAATGCTTTCCCTTTACTACCCCTTACCACAAATACACCAAGCTATTAAATTGTTCAGTACCGTAAAGCCCGCTAGTACCATTTGACAAACTGATGGTGCCTTCTCATAGTTTTCATCTTTCTTAGGCCACGGAAGTTCTCCCCTTTGTACAAGATCCAAGATTTGTGATGGATCACAAGCTATATAAGGAAAGACTGTATGTTCTGGCGATCTTGAGTGTCTGAGGCTGCAAATGCAAGCTTCCAGTGTTACATAGTCCACGCAAAGTTTCTCTCCAGTAAAAATTTTGCATTGCATATAAGGATAACACCATTGCTTCCATCGTCATTTCTTTCCATTGTGAAAGTCTTTTTAATGCTGCATGAAAACTCTCAGAGACATTTGTGGTGATTCCACTTTTTTCTTTATATATGTTCAGTCTCTTTAGAATCCAGGCCCCAGCATGAGTTATTATTGCTTGGTGCAGTTTTTCCTTAAAGTAGTCCAAGAATGCTTTGCTCCAACCTGTACTGAGTTAATCAAATTTGAATGTGTAGTCTTGCTCAGAATTTGACCTCAGAAGATCAAAAAAGTCAGCAAGGTATACCTTGGTATCCTCTGAACTGGCCACGATGTCTCTGCGGATGTGATTCCAGCACACCACTCTGTGGCTCTTGAGCAAAACATGATCCAAAGCCTTTTCAATTCCTTTTTCTCTGTCAGACACTAGGACAACTTTTTCTGAATTGAGCAATGGACACTGCTTTGAAAGGGTCTCCTGTGATTGTCCTCTCGCCTGCTGTCATGCATCTTGAACATTACAGGAATCAGTGGTGATTCAGCGAAAAGCACATTTTGAAATAGTAAAGTAGATAGGAAGAAGTCTCCAAGTTGAAAAGTTGTGTCATATGAAAAAAGCATAGGTAAATCTGTCTTCAGTGATATTATTTTCCCAATTTCAGACGAAATATCCTGTAGGCCCATAACAACAATCACTGTAGGAGAGAGAGAGATATCATGGATGAAGCCTTCAAGGCGTTCTGTTAATTCAAAAACACTGTACAAATCATCACGACTGATTTGTGAACGTTGTCTTTCAAGCTTGTTTCTTTCTTACCTAAGGAAACAAAAATCAAAATTGTATGGAATGCTTGTAAAGTACAGTGGTACCTCTGGTTACATACTTCATTTGTTCCGGAGGTCCGTTCTTAACCTGAAACTGTTCTTAACCTGAAGCACCACTTTAGCTAATGGGGCCTCCTGCTGCCGCTGTGCTGCCGCCGTGCAATTTCTGTTCTCATCCTGAAGTAAAGTTCTTAACCCGAGGTAATATTTCTGGGTTAGCAGAGTCTGTAACCTGAAGCATATGTGTCAGGGCCGCCTCAGGTCCCAGCTCACAAGAGACCAACGCCAAGTCCACTTTATTTACAAAAGTCTTTATTGAAGTACATTGTTTGTTCCACAGCAGAGGCGGGCAGCCCCACGTCTGTTACGCTTAGACCGCTGAAGTCCCCTCTGAATCAGTCCCGCCTCTACACCAGTTTAAGAGGCTTGTGCTGGTCCACCTCTTCCTGTCCTTCCTTTTCCGCAGGGTCTTTCTGCCCCCCTGGGTTCCTTCCCTCCTGCTTTCCCCTGACGCTGAGTCCCCAGACGCCTGTTCCCCCCTCCTCCGTGCTTTGGGACCAGGCTCCTCCTCCGGGCTCTCCGCATTTCCGCGCGCCTCCACATTTGAACTTGGCGCGCGTTCGCTACCCCTGACCTTCCTCTTGACAGTTACACTACTCTCTGTACTAGTCTCCGCCCCTTCCGGCAGGACGTCTTGCCCCGATCTCCTTCCCCTCTCTGCTTCCTGCTCTGCTCCGTGTGTCACACTGGGAACTCCACCCTCTTCACTCCGTTCCGGCGGGGAAGCCGGCCCCGATCTCCAACTCCCACTCGGGGTTTCCCTGCTGCTCCCCTGCTCCTGACGAGTCCCCCCTGTGGCTCCCTTTGGCCTGACCAGGGGCGCCCCCTTTTGGGAATCCTCCGATTCACTTGAAAGACTCATGGAAACCCTCAAGTCATTGTCCTCCTCCTCGTTCCTGGATTCTTCCCCCTCGCTCTCAGTCTCCTCCCTCATCTGTGCCTCTCTCCCTGAACCCCTGACAATATGTAACCTGAGGTCCCACTGTAGTCATGAGAGGTCATTTCATACAACAAAATGCAGTAAAAAAAAAAAAAAGAGCCAAGGAAGCAAGGAAAAAAGAAATTTTGGATGCCCAAATTAGGAACAAACCCAAATAAACAATTGATAAAACAGGCAAGAAAATGATTACAATCACAGCATTCAATGATAATCAATGAAGAAATAGCATGGAAAGTTAAAAAAATGAAGCCAAAATTCTTTGAGCATGCAAACAAACCTGGAAAGTTGTTAGCATGGCAATTAAGGAGAAATCAACAGACAAATTACATATATATATATGTAAAATTCATTCCAATGGGAAATTTCTAAATAAAACAACAGAAATAAGGGAAGCCTTTTAAAAATATTTTCAAAATTTATACAAAAGAGGAAATGAAAAGGCAATGAACATACAGGAATATATAAAAAAGAGTAAACTGCCAAAGATAAAACAAGAAGAGATAGTATTCTTAAATACACAAGTAACAGACCAAGAAATCTCCGAGGCAATAAGGCAAATAAAGGTGGGCAAATCACCAGGAACAGATGGATTATCAGCAAAGTACAATAAAAAATTTTAAAGAACACCTTGTAAATCCAATGAAAGATATAATGAATGAAATATTAACAAAAGGGGAAATTTGAGAAACATGGAAGCAAGCTTATATTACCTTGATTCCAAAACAAGATACAGATTTGACCTTGGTCAAAAAATATAGCCCTATTTCAGTTTTGAACAATGATTACAAGATATTTGCTAACATTTTAGCTAATAGATTGAAAAAGGTCTTAAATGTTTAAATACAGACCAAGCGGGATTCCTTCCAGGTAGGCAGATGAAAGATAAAATAAGAAATATTTTAAATGTAATAGAGTATTTAGAAGTAAGAAATGAGAAAAAAGCAGCAATGATGTTTATAGATGTGGAAAAAGTTTTTGATAATGTATCTTTGGACTTTATAAGGAAAGTGACGGAAGAAATGGAATATGGAGAAAAGTTTATAAAAGGGATACAAGCTGTATACACAGAACAATGTGCAAAACTAATTATTAACCAGGTGATAACTAATGAATTCCAAATTGGAAAAAGGAATGAGACAAGGATGTCCGTTATCACATTTTTATTCATTCTGGTCCTGAAGGTTTTGAACAGAAACATAAGAGCAGACAAACAGATTGTTGGAATAAGAATGGGGGAAATGAATTTAAGTTGTAAGCATTTGCTTGTTGACTTGGTAATTACAGTTGAGGAAACAAAGCTGTCTCCCTAAAGCTTTTGAAAAAATATAAGTTTGGGCGAGTGGGAGGATTTAAATTAAATAAAGGAAAGACAAAAATACTAACCAAAAAAAATGACGGAACTGGAGAAAATTATTATTATTATTATTATTATTTATTTATTTATTTATTTATTTATTTATTTATACCCCACCCTTCCCAGTTCAAAAACCGGGCTCAGGGTGGCTAACAACAAAATTAAAAACACTTAATTATAAAAGCAGCATAAAATAGAGTATAAAAACATGAATAACAATAAAATTCAAAATTCAAAAATCAGTTTAGGGAAAATAAGCATTGGATATTCCCCAGGGCTAGCTGGCTGAATTAGTCCTACCTGGGCCAGCGAGGAGCACAGGGGAGAATTAGCTGTGGGGTCTCAGAGCGGGTGATCTTCATAAAAGGGGAGGGGGAGGGAAGAGAAGGGAAATAAAAGATCAGGCTGAATTAAAATTAAAGGCCAAGTGGAATAGCTCTGTCTAACAGGCCGACGGAAGGAGGTTAAATCCTGAAGAGCCCTAGTCTCATGGGACAGAGCATTCCACCAGGTTGGAGCCACCACTGAAAAGGCCCTGGCTGTGGTGGAGGGTTGTCTGACTTCCTTAGGGCCCAGGTCCTCTAAACTATGGTTATTCATGGACCTTAAGGTCCTCTGCGGGGCATACCAGGAGAGGCGGTCCCATAGATACGAGGGCCCTTAGCCACAAAGGGCTTTAAAGGTCAAGACCAGCACCTTGAACCTGACTCTATACTCCACCGGGAGCCAGTGCAACTGGTAAAGCACTGGGTGAATATGCTCCCATGGCAGGTACCCCGTGAGGAGCCTCGCTGCAGCATTCTGCACCCGGTGGAGTTTGTGGGACAGTTTCAAGGGCAGCCCCATGTAGAGCGAATTACAGTAGTCAAGCCTGGAGGTGACCATCGCATGGATCACTGTAGGAGATTGCAAAAATAGAAATTCATTAAAAAGTCAAATATTTAGGAATTTGGCTTGATAATAAAAATGTAAATTTATATAAAGACAACTATGAGAAAGTTTGGAATGAGATGAAGATAGATTTGGAAATTTGGAAGAGAATGAACCTCTCCTTGATGGGATGGATAGCAGCAATACAGATGAATGCATTATCAAAGATGTTATATTTATTTCAGTCAATAGTGATAATAAGCAACCTTGTCTGATATATAATGAATTTGGGGAAAAATGTTTAAAAAGACTTTTGCTAAGAAACCAGAAGAATTACTCCTATAAATTGTAGATCAAGATATTAAAAAAAGAAAATCAGAAATTATGTATGCAGCAACAGCGGCAATAATTATATTAGCACAAACTTGGAGGACAGAAGAAATACCAATGAAAGAACAATGGCAAGGGAAACTTATGGAAAATGGAGAACTTGCAAAACTATCAGATAAACTACATGAAAAGGACAACAAAGACTTTAAAAGAGAAGGGGGACCATTTTCAACATATATGAAGAGGCAACATAAAGAAATGGACTCCTTGGCAGGGTTTGAGAAAACAATCACAATTGTATGCAGCAAAAAGTAAGATAATATGCATTCTGTGAAATTTTGGCAGAAAAAATGCAGGGTAAACAATATGGAAATAAAGCAAAGTAGGTGTATGAGGGAAGTCCAGGGGAGGAGGGTGGAAATATGAAAAATTGTTAAAGATATATCGTTAGAAGAAGTATACATGGAAAAATCAATTAAAAATATTTTTTTAAAAAGTTTGTTTCTTACCTGCTCCAGGTTTCGTGGCTGAGCTGCAGGCATATGAGCTGAGCTGGTTACAGGGTCATTACAAAGGTCTTTATAGATTTTTGAGGCCTTAGCACTTGTATCTGAAATCTTTCCTATTACTGAAGGCATTGTCCGTACGTGTGGTCTTAGCAAATTTCTCTTTCTGTCACCATGAGGAAGTGCATGGAATTCCCTCCATTTCACAAGAAGGCTCTAGCAGTCTATAACTGTGCCTTATGAAGTTGTCTGGACTTGAACAAGTTTTGATTTTATGGTGAAATTTCCTCAGCTTCGGATTAATTCTCGGCCATCGTCGGACACCACAGTTGATCCAACGATATTGATCACAGCGCCAATCATTTCTTTTCTGAGGAGAACCTTTGAACGAATACAGAAAGACATCACCACCAATAGCCTTGCATGGTGGATCATTTACAATCTTCTGATAATCAGGATGAGATGGAATATGAAGGGCTTCTTCCACTGCAAAAAGGAGCGGTTTTCCTGCAGTATAAGATCATTGTGAAGAGTCCTCCACTCTACATAATTGTGAAAGCTTGTTTCAATTAAATATTTTTAAAAATGGAACACGCAGCTCCAGGTCCTTGGGGGACTCTGTGAGCCCTCTAGGTAAAGAGGACTCCCTGTGGTCAGAGATTAAAGAAACAGGCAGGACCAAGGCAAATTGTATAGGGAAGTGGCTAAGAAGTCTGACCTTTATTGTAAAAGCAACTGCTATAGCAGGGTCCACACTCCTCTGGCAGCGAGATGAGTCAGACCTCGAACAGAAGGTGCCCCCCACTTTTATTAGTTCCCCAAATTCCCAGTCCCACCTCCAATATTTCATCATTGCTACATCATTGATGCATCCCACAAGGGGAGGTACGGGGCAGTACCTGGGTAGCAGATAGCTGTCTTTCCCCACCCTTTCCCCATCTCCTGACACCCGCGAACACAAGACACTAAAACTATTTACAGTTCCTGACTCCTCTGGTCAAGTTCCTCACGGTTCTTTTGTCCCCTGGAGTCCAAATCCATTTCAGGGTTGCCCATCTTTGTGATCTGTCTGGCATTGGGTTAGGTGTTTCCCCTGCGGTGAGGCCATTTGCCTACTGACTCTATGCTTCCTGGTAAATGGCTCTGAGGTTTTTGTGGTTCATTCTGTGGTCGGTCATATACATGGTTACAGGAATTTCAGACATTAATCGTGGGGCGGGGGGGGGCCTGGAGACCCCACCCCATGAGTACACACTTACAATGAACATAGCACAAACATCACCCACCCACCTGATACGGCTAAAATCTGGGTGCAGGGCTATTCTGCCACCCAGCTCGTCGGACTAAGTGTCCGCGGATCCCTGCGGAAGAAAATGAGCTCAGCCGGACAGGAGCAAACTGCAGAAGATCCAAGTTTATTGCGCAACAGGTTCAAGACGAGATTGAACAGCGAGAAAGGGATGGCATGAACTTTTGAAACTCCCTCCATGTCCCAGAATACAGTGCAAAATACATCCCAGTTACATCATGAATACATTAAGGAAAGGTTGGGTTACACAGATTACATCATGAATACATTAAGGAGAGGTTGGGTTACACTGGATTAACATATGGAGGAGGGAGGGGGGAATATGCAGAGAGCTGGAGATATGGAGGAGGGAGGGGGGAATATGCAGAGCTGGAGATATGCGCAGATAAGCACATCCTGAGAAGACAATGGTCCATGTATGCGTAGTCTGTCACCTGGCATTGCCCGGAGGAAAGGTTTGGCAGACACCTTACTTGAGAGATTATGGAGGACAGGGGAGGGGTGATGGAGTCCTAGAGAAATTGAGCAAATATTTGTAGTGAAGAAGACATGCCCCCCCCTCCGTAACAGTCCCCCATTCGGAGATAGATTTGCATTAAAGTTCTGTAAGAACTTGCAAATCTTTTCTCCGCACCCTAAATCTTGGTGAATGTAGGGGTGCCCTGTGGGTGGGAATAGGCACGGACGAATACAATGTACATGCGTGTTATATATATGCGCTAAATAATAACCTGGTATCTACCGTACCAGATGTGTGGGTTTATGCAAAGCTGAAAGGGACTTGCAAGCCATGCCTCTTACGGTCATTTGCAAGTATAGCAGTGCAGGTAGCTGCATATAGGGTATTATATAAAAAACATCTGTTGTATTTTGTTACTAAATTTCTTGTGGCACCCTAGCTCTTGGGAGAAACATTTTCAATAGTGGTGTATGCTTTACATTTAGCAGGAAGGTCCACTACTGACTGGGAAAAAAATGCAGTTTGCTTTTTTTTAGCCCCACCGTTTTTGTGTTTTCAGGTGCCAAGCTAGCTCTTCTGTGGTCTCACACCGGCATAGTGGTACAGTAACACATCCTGTTGAATCCCCTCAGGGCTTTCATTTAACCATGTCGCCTGGCACTCACCATAGCTGGCACAGGCTTGGACACATCATGAGAGATATGTCTTCGCCTTGGTCTTTCTATGGGGTTTTTTCATTATTGCAGGCTCTGGTTTCGCACTCATGGAAAGTTGTCCACTTGCTCTTAAAGGACCAAAAGCTAGTTGCAGCCTGGATACACGTGCCCAATTCCAGTAGAGTCCAATTTGAATTTATCTTGCCCCGTGGTTCTCAACTTTTCAAAACCAATATGTTAAAACCAAAGCCATTCTTTAAGGGGGCATTTGTCCAAATGAGTCAATTTAACTCTATAAGGGACCATTCTTGCTACATCAAGGCATATACACGTTTCTTGTTATCAATAATAATATAACATATGGTAGTCGTGTCCTCAAATAAATAAATAAAATTTGGGACATGATCTACACCCAATTTCATCTGGCATCCTAATCAAAACATAATAAGGAGCGTTGCTTCAAATCTACCTGATAAAATATGGTTCCGATAATAATACTTGGTTGTGGTTAGATTAATTTCACAGCTATACGGGAAAACCAAGATTAATAAGTAAATAAATACTTGAAGACAGTACTGAATCTGCAAGAGATGCAGAGAAGTCATAGAAAAGATTTGAAATAGTTTTCTGGAACAGAAAGAAAGAAATAGTAAAAATCTGGGAACTTCATATATAGAAAAACATTAAATACATAAATAAATAGGTAGGGAAGGTTGGCACTCTGCAGAGTGCCAGGTGGGACAAGGAAATATGATCATCAGTTGACTTAATCTAAATATAGTCTGCTCTATTGGAAAGCATTGTAATATATGGGAATCCTCCATGAAAAACTTGGGGTGTAAGCCATATCCTTCTGCTGTTCATAGTTATGTATGTTACATTATACAGAAATTTTTCCCTTTGTGGAGATAACACATAATCAGACACACTTCAACATTCCTACATAATAACACATAATACACAAAACAAACTAATTAAATATCAGTTGCATATTGACACAATTGTGATCTTTTACGCATGTATCTTTGAATCCCTGGAGCACAGAGGCTTGAGGTTCAAGTGAAAAAATGTCCTCGCAATTCAACTCCTCCCCCCTTTGTCAGCCCCACTCCCCCATCAGTCTGTATCCTTTGAAAGAGATAGCTGTGGGCACTTTATTGCAGGTCTTGTGATGGTGAAGAACTCTGAGTTGAGGGGTTGTTGCTGCCTTTTCATCATCGCACATCTGTAGAAGTGATATCCTGTAAGGGGCAGGGTTTTGGGGGACACTTAAAAGACAGTTAGAAAAAGGAAGGAGCAAAAGCCCCCTCCCCAAGAAAATCTCCTTGAGTTATTAGCTGCGAATAATAAAATCTTAACATGTTAAGCATTTTACTCATTTTAATATTATTATCACATTTCCATATAATTACTGTTATTATCTGCTAAGTTTGTTTGCTTTCCTTCATTTAGTTTTTTCTCTCCATATTATTAAATAAAAAATTACTCCACGTGTAGAGAAAGAGAAAAAAAATACAAGAAAGTTTAAAAAATAAAAAGAAAGCAAAAAATTAGATTACTATTCAGATGAAAACGAACTTGACACAAAGACATCAGATTCAGAAAAAAATTATTATTAAATAATACAAAGATTTTATCAAAACCACAGATTACTACTGGACTAAAAAAATGGGAAAACAATGGAAAAAGGCTTCAAATTCAGCATGTGCTATCTGATAAGTAGAACTTGATGAAAATGACTTTCAACATGTGATGGACATGTCCCCAAAGTAAAACACACACACACACACACACACACACACACACACACACACACACACAATGACCTATGAGGAACCAAAAATAATTAAATGCTAAGACACACAATTTAAAAAAAACAAAACAACCTGAAGTAACCTGAAGTAATCTGTTTTGGCATTCTAACAACCCAATGAAAAACTGATTAATAAATGAAAACAGATTATTTGTAACCTAAAAAAGTGTCAAAGATAGAGGAAAATCAACTAATATAGCAGGGATTCAGACTTGTTTTGCTGAACAGAAAGAAAGTGACTGTTTGGCTTTAAGGGAAGAAAGACAAAAGAAATACAAATGCAATTACTTTTTATAGAGTATTTAAATCACTGTTTGCATCCCCTCATTATCATTTGTGCTGTGGGAGAAAAGAAGGGACGAACACTTTGTTAATGGGGTTCACATATCCTGTAAAAAGGGGAAATTATTTCATGTGAGAAGTCTGTCAGGAAATGCTGTTCCTAAAATGCATAGGCATACACACACACACAAAAAAAAAACTGTTATAAAATTTAAATCCCATTGGGGAGGCAAACTACTCAAGAGAGGAACTCACAGTGGGAGTGCTTTGATATTTACCTGTGAAAATAAATCGGCATGTCAAGACCTGAAACCTGGCAACCTCTTGACCCTTGATGGTCCAGTACCCAACCCCTTTGTCTTAATTAGCCCCTGGAGCAAAAGACACATCAAGGATGATCTCCCCCAATGGTTCCAAGTTCCACACAAGGAAATTTGAATAGGTTTCTCCCCGCAGCACACTCTCCAAACCTCCTCTCCCCCCTCCTTCCTCTCTCTCTCTCTTTTAAGCTGATCTAGCCTCTGTGCATGTGCAGAGTTCATGTCTCAGCAAACCTTTTATACTATTGAAAATGTTGCATCTTTTGGCTAAATTAGAATTTGAATAAGGGAAGGGAAGGGTAAGGAGTAGATTTTAAAAATAGGGTTAGATTTTAAAACAAAAAAGGAGAAACTCAGCAATTCAAGTATTCACCAAAGCTAGCAATTGCAGCCCAAGCAAAGGACTGCTTCCTTTATGTACAGGAAAGGGCTAATATCCCTCTGGCTATTCGCGGAACAATGCCACGCCCTTATATATGGGGAAAATGCCAGAGAGTCAGAATTCATAGGATTTATTATTATTATTATTATTATTATTATTATTATTATTATTATTTTGTAAATATTCTCAGTCATTCAGCCTCACCATTTGCAGACAAATTTTTCTGTCCTTTATTTACAGGATGGATGGTTAAGGCTCATTCTACTTGACTATATGAATTTTTATGTGCTTAATCTTTGAATAGACTTTTAAGTTTGATTTTTTGTAAATAATAGACAAAATGATAAATACTGTAATCACTCAAATGCTTGATATCACCAGTTGTGCTTCAAAAACATCACGGCTTTCACCCCTCACCTTTTAAAAACAAAGAGCAAATCTGGGCTGAATTTCAACTCATCAGCCACAAATTGGGAGAGTTGAAAGGGACCGTGGGGTCATCTAGTCCAACCCTAAAATACAGGGTTCATAGCAAGATTTGTACTACCAGAGAGACACACACATACTTATGTACACAGACACAACTGGGGAAGAGACCACAAGCCATACACCTATCACAAGCCATGCGCATATCATGTACCAATGAAGAGGAAAATAAAAGTACCCAACTTTATACAGAACCCTTTTAGCAGATCTTGAAGCTAGTTTGAGTGAGAGTTTACTTCCTTAGACTAAAGAGTGCAAGTTCCTAGAGAAATTATCTTTAAAGGAAGATTGAAGTGAACATTTTCCTAAGATAGGGAGAGGATCTCTTATAAATCATAGTTAAAACAGCCATAGATTTGATTTGAAAGGAATACAAAAGTGGCAATTTTTCCTGAACTTGCAGAGGAATAGTAAGCCTAATCTATGCCCCCCCCTGCAGTTTCCTTTAAAGGAAGCTTACTCTGGAGTAAATTTACTTGGCACAGAAGTAAGAAGGAGAAGAAAAGGGGGGGGGAACCTGAAAGAGACAGAATGAAACAAGGGGGGGCATTTTCTAAGAAAAGAGTCCAGGAAGTCTGATAGAGACTGATATCTGGACTGGACTCATAGAATTTTGCTGGCCATGGAAGCCTCTACATTTAATAACAATTTTCTTAGAAAGAACACCATACTTTCATAGGCATATACTTAATGAAGTACATACAAGGAGAAAGACTCTTTTGAGCCTCTCTCAAATAACAAACATTTACACACTTCATTCTCATTTTTGTCTTAAGATTGATAAGGCCCAACATGGCTTTCTTAGATTTAAAATTTGGAACAAGCATGGAGTTTAAACTATCCGCACTTAAGACAGGCAGTCTGTCAGAGACAGAAGGAACAGACAACACACATAACAGATGACATGTAAACATACATATTCTCATATGTATTAACAGACAATACACATAACAGACAACATGTAAACATATATATTCTCATCTTTTAGTTGGTTATTGCAAGGAGTTGGACTGCTTCCTTTGGCTTCATAAGTGAAACTAGTAGGAAGGTCCCACATGGTTTTATGAGCCTCCTTGCCTCTTGAAACACACCACCAGTTAATCAAACTGGCAGGGCTCACAACGCTTGGTTGACGGGGTACCCCTTTATATATGCATGCATTGCTGTTGTTGCCTTTTTTGTTTGTTTGTTTGTTTGTTTGTTTTATCTTAAGGGGGAACGAGAAGGGTTGATTAGGATTTGGGTAACTCGTAGTGCAGGGATATATAGTAAAGAAAGAGAAGGGGCCTCTAGTTGCTTGGCAACTTCCTTAGTGGGTTTTTTAGAGAGCTCTAGCTATCCGGTTCCTTGTGTTCCTTTTCCTATTTCCTTAGTCAATAACCTGGGGTCCTTTTCCACTCTGCCGATCCCGCCCAATTCCTCATGGGCTATCCCTCCTGGCAACCTCCTACCTATCGTCACAATCTCAGGAAAAGGGGCCCTACTGGACGCCCGTGCCGTGCGGTGCCAGATCGGGTGATCCCTGGATAGAATTTCGAACTGAAAATCCCCCTTGCTTTTGGAAGCGGGCTCACGCACGATACACGTGTTACGTGGCACCGACCAGTGCGGCTGGGATTGGGATAGAAAGCCAGACTACTTCCTGCCCCCTAGAAAGGACGCTCGGGAAGTTCGGAAAGAGAGCTCCAACCCCTTGCTTTCAACTGGGATGCCCGTTGCGGAGAGTCGGCTATCTTTCAAGTCGGGTCTCTCCGTCTTACTTTCGGGCTCCCAATTGGTGCGGCTGGCTGGAGGGTTTTTTAAGAGAAAGAGATAGAGCTCAGAACCCCCCTTTCGGGTTGAGCAGCGGTCCACGGTCTCTCTCACCACTTGGACCAAGAGACAGGCAAGAAGGAGCGATAGAGAGGAGGGCAGAGAATTCAGTTGCCAGGAGACTTCCACCCCCTTCCCACCAGTGCACTGGATTTTTCCTTTTCCTTATACTCACGCGTCTTCTATGATGATCCCGGGATCAATGAATAAGCCGGCTGGATCCCTCTTTGCTCCCCGGCTGAACTCCTAGGGCTTTCGATTACCGCCTGGGAGATGGCTGGGGGTCCAAAAGGATCTTCCCAGGCAAAATGGCCCGGAGCCGGCTGAAGATTTCGGGGCCCCCAGTCAGCAGTTCGGGAGAACCGCAAGCCCCACGTTGGGCTGCCAACTGATACGGCTAAAATCTGGGTGCAGGGCTATTCTGCCACCCAGCTCGTCGGACTAAGTGTCCGCGGATCCCTGCGGAAGAAAATGAGCTCAGCCGGACAGGAGCAAACTGCAGAAGATCCAAGTTTATTGCGCAACAGGTTCAAGACGAGATTGAACAGCGAGAAAGGGATGGCATGAACTTTTGAAACTCCCTCCATGTCCCAGAATACAGTGCAAAATACATCCCAGTTACATCATGAATACATTAAGGAAAGGTTGGGTTACACAGATTACATCATGAATACATTAAGGAGAGGTTGGGTTACACTGGATTAACATATGGAGGAGGGAGGGGGGAATATGCAGAGAGCTGGAGATATGGAGGAGGGAGGGGGGAATATGCAGAGCTGGAGATATGCGCAGATAAGCACATCCTGAGAAGACAATGGTCCATGTATGCGTAGTCTGTCACCTGGCATTGCCCGGAGGAAAGGTTTGGCAGACACCTTACTTGAGAGATTATGGAGGACAGGGGAGGGGTGATGGAGTCCTAGAGAAATTGAGCAAATATTTGTAGTGAAGAAGACATGCCCCCCCCTTCCGTAACACACCCAAATGCTTTTCCATGGCCCGACTAAATTGTTACAATGTACCCAAATCAATAGACCATGTCTGATTTAATCAACTGTTTCTGCTTTTGAGTGAAAGTGTTTTTCTTGCTACATAGGACCCCATAGCGTTTTCAAATATTCATATAAAATAAACCACCCCATGCATCTGCACCATTCCGCTTTTGATTTACAGGAGGAGGGCGGCCAAAGGAGGGAGGTATGAAACACGTGACTGGCAGCCATAATCCTTTCTGCAAGAAGTCATGTTCGCAGCAATCTCCCCTTCCTAAAGATAAGGTCACACGCAAGTGCCAGACTGCTCCTCATTGACTTACTGTGCTGGTCCCGTGGGTTACCTGAGAGGCGAGGTCCAAGTCCGGTCTGTGGTCAAAGGTGCAACGGGGAGGCAGTCCATAGTAGCTGAAGCTGGGTGCAGGGCAGGGAGTCGGGTGAAGTCAGGAACAGGCTTGCAAGCAGGGATCCAGGGCGGGTCAGGAGCTCAGGCAGGAACTATCAACCAACAATGTTGCTCCCGCAACTTGGGACTGGGGCTGGCCGGCTTTTGTCTGCCCTGATGCATAGGGCGGCCCCGGTCCACAGGTGACTCGCCTCTCCTGGCCTGGAGGCGAGCACTCCTCCTGCGGGAACTTAGTTTCCTCCACCTCTCTGCCCTGAGGCTCTGCAACTGAGGAGAGGCTGGAGGGTTACCGGACCCAGAGGCAACCCAGAAAACTGTGGAGCCATAATTATATATATATATTCAAATTTAGGAGGATAGGGAAGTACAGAAAGGGAAAGGGAAAAGGGGGAGGGGATAGATAATATTGATGGAGAGATAGAGGGATAGAGAGATATAGATAGATAGGTAGATTAGAAATTTAAAAGACCTATAAAGATTATCAAATCCTACAAAGTACTGAGCGCAAATATAAAATTGAATCACAATGGCACAAAATAAGTCAGCAAGCTGACATTTACCAAGAGTTAGACAAAGGTTAGTGTACTAAATATTATTTACAATTCTTGGTAGTTTGCTATTAGAGAAATACCAGATATTTCTTCAACACCTCAGGACATATTTTCCACCGGATTTTGATGAACACCAGTTCGCTAATAGGAGAAATAGGTCAACAGATGATGCCATAGCCACAGCTTTTCTCCTTGCACCGAGTCAACTGGAGAGACCGGGGAATTATGTCAGAATGCTGTTTATTGATTATAGCTCGGCTTTTAATACCATTCTTCTGGACATTCTTATTAAAAAGCTGATGGACCTGGACCTTTCCTCTACCATCTGTGGTTGGATTAAAGACCTTCTGAGGGATCACACACAAATAGTGAGGATTGGGCCTGTTACATCTACCTCTCTGAAGCTCAGCACTGGCCCTACCTGTACTCGTTGTATACATATGACTGTATTTCATCTGATCCATCCACTGCAATTATTAAGTTTGCAGATGATACCACCATAATGGGTCTAATTACAGGTGGAGATGAATCAGCGTATAGGGAGGAGGTTAAAAAAGTCTCCACATGGTGCCTAGAGAATAACTTGCACCTAAATATTGTTGTAAATAAAAATATATGCCCTTTTCCCTTATGGGGTATCCAAGAGCCCATATAGAGTCCTTACATAGGTTCCCTATTGGTAGGAGAAAATAACAGAGGCCAACCAGAGAATATTGAGAAGCAAAGCAGCTAGTAAGCTCAGCAAGACAAAGGAGATGGTGTTGGACTTTTGGAGGAAGAGAGGGGAACTAGCCCCGTTGTATATCAGGGTGGGTTGTGTGGAGAGAGTCTCTTCCTTTAAATTCCTGGGAGTTTACCTTAGTGAAGACCTCACTTGGAAAATCAATACAACCCAGGTGGTTAGGAAGGCACAACAGAGACTCCATTTCCACAGGGTCCTGCAAAAGAACAAGGTCAAACAAAAATTGATGATCTCCTTCTACCTGGCCACAATAGAAAGTGTCCTTTCATACTTTATTACAGTGTGGTACACTGGTTTGATATACATCTATATTCTCTGCAGCCAAAGATGGAGAAGCTCTACTGGGCCCATCATCTCCTGGCAAATAGAAGGGGAAGAAATGGAGGCAGTGAGAGATTTTACTTTCTTGGGCTCCATGATCACTGCAGATGGTGACAGCAGTCACGAAATTAAAAGAAAATTAAACGAAATTTTCCCAGTAGTGATGTATGGAAGTGAGAGCTGGACCATAAAGAATTGGCACTGTCGTTATGACCACCTGCCCCGGGTGTAGCCAGGATTTCTTTTATGGGGGGGGGGGGAATTAGGGTTGCCATATTTTGAAGAGCAAAAAAGAGGACGCCGTGAAGATTCTCATTTTAAATACGCCTACTATATGTAGGCTATAGAAGCTGTGATATATTGCTGGGGGGGGGGGCAGAAGATGAGAAAAGATGGGGAAAGCAAGTCTTCAATCACCAGTCTTGTCTAGGACTCATCCAGAAAGTATAGCCAGAGACATGAAAAAGAGGATGTGTCCTGGAAAAAGAGGACACATAGCAACCGGGGGGGCAGAACTGAGTTACCTGCGACACAATTGGTCAGTTAAGTATTTCTTTTTATTTACTTGATTAGGGGGGCAGTTCCCCCCGAACCCCTGGCCACTCCACCTGCAACCAGGGGCGGAGGAAGGGTGGTGCGGTAGGTGTGGGGCCGTCCTGGGTGTCCCCACTGAGGGGGGTGAAAAAATGCCGGGCGGCACTCACCATGGGGCCTGCAGTGGGCCCAAGGCTCTGCGCTGTCCAAACACTTTGCCCCACTGCCTCCCCCCCCCAGCTGAAGGGTGACTGAGTGGGAGGAGGCAGACAGACTCTGGAGGCCCCACGGTGCACCCTGCCCCTATGGACACCTCGCCCCACCCTCGCCCTGCCCCTATGGACACCTTGCCCCTCCCTCACCTGCCCCTATGGGCAGCTTGCTCCCCAGGCGCCCAAGCGGCTTCCTCCACCGCTGACTGTCCCTGGCAGTAATACTGGTTTTAGCCCTCTCACTGGTCAGAGCTGAAGTTGGGATTTACAACTTTAAAACGAGATGCTACAAATTTTCCCTTGTGATCTCCATAGTAGACAATTTTAAATGTTGCTTGTAGATAGAGAGGGGGGGTAGACAGCTTTAAATTTCTTAGCATTTTCTTAAAGCATTTTTCTTAAAGCGATAGGCTATCCATTTTGGGGGCCCTGGGGCCCCTCCCCCAAGGAGAACCTCCAAAAAAGCACACTGTGGAGGAGAGTTTCCTGCCTGTCACTCAAAGAAGAATTCAAACTCAGGCTGCAGTGTCTACCAAAATCTTTAATGTTCAGATCAGTGCGATACTTGGGCAAAATGTCCTTAAAAGGCACAGCAGATTCTACACATAGCCAAGCAAACAAAGACATGGACCCAGGAATGAGACATACCCTGGCTTAGGAGCTAACTCCTCTTAAGCCCATAACCCCCCAAAATTTTTAGGGGGCCGGGAACCCCCCCCAAAAAACTGTTGATGGCCATTGCCATTTAATTGTGTGTGGTGTGTCATGTGACTATGTAGGGCAGGGCTTACCGCCCCCCCATATTTTATTCAAGTTGGCCCCCCAGCAACCCTGTTATTAGAGAGTGGGGCCGGCACTAATTTCTCCCCCATGCGCAGTGATCCCATGTTGAAAACAAACCCATTGGTATCCACTGTATTAATGCGCCAAGGGACTATTTTATGTGTCCTTATGACCAACAGGTGGTGGAAGGAGCGAGCCAGAATCTAGTGAGTGAGACTGTCCCTGGCAGTAATACTGGTTTTTGCCCTCTTACTGGTCAGAGCTGAAGTCTCACTGAAGTTGTTATTTACAACTTTAAAACGAGATACAACAAATTTTCCCTTGTGATCTCCATAGTTGGCAGTTTAAAATGTTGCTTGTAGATGATAGAAAGATAGACAGACAGACAGAAGCTAAATAGATTCAGTAACTCCCTAAAAAGTGTTAGGAGACGCAATACATTTTAAATTTAAAGGAAACAAAGAAAATAAGAAGACCAACAAAGAATTAATCATAGTAAAACAGGGAGAGTAAATTCTGGACAGATGCTAGACTTTGAGAAAGCCCCCAAAAGAAAGCTTAGCCAAGAAAAATTTAAACTAAAAACTCATAGAAAACACCAAGATGAAGATTTTAAAGAGAATCAAGAAAAGCAGATACACCTGATGACTAGAAAGGCCAAGGGAAAACAAAGACACATGAAGGAACGTGAGGGGCAAAATCAAGTTTATTTCCCTTTCGACCAACAAGTCTTTGGGTGTACAAAGGAGCAGAGGAAAGGGTGGGTGGAGATGAAGTCTGCTTCAAGCAGAGTGAAGAATAATTGCAGAAAATAGAAGGCTTTTCTTTTAAAAGGCAACTGGAGAAGCCATTTCATAAAAAGAAGGCTGGCGTTTCTGTTGCCCAAGTGATTATTATCATTACTGTTATTATTTATTGAATTTCTATACTGCCCTATACCCAAAGGTCTAAGGGCAGTTCACATAAAATATCAACTACACCAAATCAAAACAAGAACGACCCAAGAACGGGTTTCCAGAGCAGAGACAGCAGGAGTCCGGCTACCCCTGTCCAGAGAGGGGCGCAACTGGGCCACCAGCTGAAGCTGATGGATGGCACTGGGGGTCACTGAGCGCCTTCCCTTGTCTCTCGACAGGTGCAGGGCGACCAAGGCCGTTTCTGTGCCAAAAGCAGGCCTAAACCCTGATGGAAATGGACCCAAATATTCAGCTTCTTCCAAGGGCACCTGGATCTGGTCTGCAACCACTCGCTCCAGAACCTCGCTCCAGAAGTTGGAAAAACCAAGACGGGTAAGATTTTAAGACAGGTAAGACTTAGAAGTGAGAAGGGTAGGGGGATCTAGGGGGATCCAGGGGGATCCAGAGGGAAAGAAAGCTGTGCATGCGATAAAGAGCAAAGCAGAGGCGCAGAAGACAACACAGTTCCATTTAATGTCATTTTAGCTCAGGTTGCCTTGTTGACAAAAATGATTTGCAGCCATTTTATGATAGCTTCTAGGGGACTATAGGTAAGCTCCTTCGCTAATGGGCAGAACTTAATTTTATGTATATTGTGGCTTCCAAGGAGTAGAATAATGAGCCCTCTTGAGCAGCAGGCTTGAAAGTTGTGGCATTGGGCATCTGAAGCCAAACAAATTGTACTTACTGGGCAACTGCAGAAGAGGGTCACCAAAATATTGTTGAGTTTTTGTTCCTTCCGAAGTGTATAAATCCAGAAGGTTCCAAACATGCCAGCATTTTGCATCCTCGCCAGTAATTCTGTTCCCAGGGGTATTTAGGTATTTAGAATACCCATTTTAAAAGCTGATGCATCAAACTGCTTCTTTTGCTGTAACAGTTGCCTTGCTGATTTCAGTGTGAAAAAGCAAATAAGGCATTTTGAAGAAGTGTGCATGCACACGAAAGCTCATACCAAGAACTAACTTAGTTGGTCTTTAAGGTGCTACTGGAAGGAATTTTTTTTGTTTTGACTATGGCAGACCAACACGGCTACCTATCTGTAACTAAGGCATTTTGAGGGTGAATCTACTGATGGCAATGGGAGAGGTGGCCTGGTAGAGGCCTTGGAGTGAGTAGAGGTTTTCACCATTTTGCCAGCCATTTTTAAGCAAAAAAAGTCCAGCAAACATTTAAGCACAAACATATTCACAATTAGGAAGGATGAGCCGTGACCATTTTTTCCTGTACATAAAGGGCAGAATTTTTTTCTGCTAATGGTAAGGCTGAAATGACTGAGAAAATATTTGAAATCTTATGAATCCCAACTCTCTGCCCATTTTTACTCATACATAAGGGGGTGGCTGATTGTTCCACTAATGACCAGAGAGGGCCACACAAAATCATAATAACCCACATTTGTGAAACATTTTGGAATAGAGGTCTGTACCCTTCAATCCTGTAGATAAAGGAGGCATGTAGCTCCCAATTTTCTTTGCCTGGGGTACATGTATGATTGTTTAATGCAGGGAACATGATCCATAAATGCTGAGACTATTCGAAATTTAATTTGACCCAGATGGTATTACTGGCTTTTTTGTGAAAACTTGCACAATAGGGTTGATAGTTGCTGGGTTTCCAACAAATACAAAAATCAGGATCCTCACCAGTACTTCTGTTCCAAAGGTAATATATTTTTAAACCTGCTGTAGTGAACTGCTTATTGCCTGTAACCTCTCACTTGGTTACCTTCAACTGCAATCGTAGCTTCTGTTAATAAAACATTTGAATTATCAGAGGTGGCACTAATAACTAACAAGTAATCTCTATATGCTCTATCGTAATCATAGCAGCAATAAATTTGTGTGTCTTCTGGCTGAAGGTGAGTATCTTGTGCTTGGCTGAGGGGAAAATCTCTGTTGTGTTCTGCCTGCAACTCTTTGTACAAAGATTCTTTCAGGTCGCAGTGAGGGGACCATTCAAGTACCCTGAGCTTGTTGGAGAAAAGGTAGGCTCTAAGTGGAATCATACATCAAATATGCAAACTAAATATTCCAAAGAGCTTGTATTGAGCAACATTGGTTATTCAATCCCTGTTTCAGAAGAGCTGCAAACTCGAAAGCCTAATGCAGTCACTCTGCGTGCTTCTACCTGGAGGGACTTCTCTTGTCGGGACACCACTGCAGGGGAGGCCCTTTCCTGTGCCATCACCACACAATAAGGTACCTCTTTTGGTGGGACGGCCATCCTTGTTTGGTTCCAGCTTTTTTTTTTACAGACCTCAGAGAGCTACCTGTGCCGGAGGCAGATCTGCTCCATTGACAAAAGGCAGTGTCAGAGCTTTTGATCCATCAGGTAAACATCTGCAGTGCAGGATTGAGAGACACCTGCGTCTTGACTGCGCTGCTTTAGGTAACCGGCTGTTTTTGCTCCTGTGTCTGGAGGGGAGGGCTGCTGAAGACCCTAGTCTCTTCCAGGTGCATCTCAGTCACACAAGAAATAGAATTTTGCAAGCCTTCAGGAAACTTAACGGCAAGTGAACTTCACATTCTACAATTCAGTGATCTTTTTCAGTACAATCCTTTTGGGCTGGCTTCTCCATTTCCCCCCGCTTGATCTCTTCACAGTTCTGTCCAAGAGCCCACCACACTCAGGGGAAGCCAGCTCTTCCTGCAGAAGTCAGGTCAGTCAGAACAGCTGGGTTCCAAAAACATTTCTCTGGAATTGGCGGGAATGGGCCGGGGACAAACTAATGAGTCCAAATTGCTTTTCACAGACCAGCAGAAGGAACTTCCAGGCCCATGAATTCACACTTCAGAGGGACAAACAAAAAGGTGAGCATAAAGGCAGAGTTTGAAGACTGGAACCAGTCTCTCTGTCCTGCCCTGCAAATTAATGGCAGTCAACATGGCACTCTGTGACGTAAACACATCTAGGTGAATATCCCTTGCTCATGGCAAGGGATCAAACCTTGATTGTGTTCTGTCTGCAACTTCATAATTCTTAAGGGTTTTCTTTTTTCCTGAGAGAACATTCTGTATTCAGAGTGTTCTCTCAGGTTTTGCTTTTCACCTTGTTGCATTGGCCAAAAAAAAGCAAAAGACGCTGGTGGTTGGCGCTCCTGGTTTCCAGGACGGGGTTCAAGCCCCTGCGGTGTCCCTGCTTACTTCCAATGCAACCTCTCTCTCTCTCTCTCTCTCTCTCTCTCTCTCTCTTTCTCTATCTCTCCCCCTTAAGAACTAAATGAAGCGAAGTGCTCCTCTGATGCATCACTGGTGTGTGTCTCAGAGAAGGTGGATTACATGGATGCTTCCCATCCTAGCACTCCTTGCCATAGGGAACAAAATATGTACAGGTGAAACTTGGAAAATTAGATTATCGTGGAAAAGTTAATTTATTTCAGTAATTCAACTTAAAAGGTGAAACTAATATATGAGATAGACTCATGACATACAAAGCGAGATATGTCAATCCTTTATTTGTTATAATTGTGATGATTATAGGGTACAGCTGATAAAAAACTCAAATTAACAATCTCAGAAAATTAAAATATTGTGAAAAGGTGCAGCTATTCAATCCATAACATCTGCAACGGGTTCAGTAGGAAGCACAATCATGGGGAAGGCTGCTGACCTGACAGTTGTGCAGAAAGCCGTCATTGAGACCCTCCATAAGGAGGGAAGGTCTCAAAGGGTAATTGCAGAAGAAGTTGGATGTTCCCAAAGTGCTGTATCGAAGCACATTAATGGAAAGTTATGCGGAAGGGGAAAGTGTGGAAGAAAAAGTTGCACAAGCAGCAGGGATGACCACAGCCTGGAGAGGATTGTCAGGAAAAGACCATTCAAACATGCTGGGGACTTTCACAAGGAGTGGACTGAGGCTGGAGTTAGTGCATCAAGAGCCACCATACACAGATGGATCCTGCAGATGGGCTTCAAATGTATTCTTCTTGTCAAGCTGCTCCTGAACAAGAAACAACGTCAGAAGCATCTTGCCTGGGCTAAAGAAAAAAAAGAACTGGTCTGTTGCTCAGTGGTCCCATGTCCTCTTTTCTGATAGGAGCAACTTTTCCATCTCATTTGGAAACCAAGGACCCAGAATCTGGAGGAAGAATGGGGAGGCACACATTGCCAGATGCTTGAAGTCCAGTGTGAAATGTTGATTTGAGGAGCCATGCCATCAGCTGGTGTTGGTCCACTGTGCTTAAATGAACTCGCCCCATTACTAAAACTGGTGGATGCTCACAGCCGTAAACTAAATGTATCAAAAATTACCATCCTTCTATATGCAGATGATATGATTGTGCTCTCATGAACTAGAATTGGCTTAAAGCGTTTGCTAAATGCCTGTATCTACTATTTGTCTAGAATGAAAATGAGCATGAACTTCAATAAAAGCAAAATAATGGTCTTCGGGAATTCTCGTAAGATATATAGTTGGGTTTTTGGTGGGAAACATATCCAGCAGGTATTCAGATTCAACTGTTTGGGGATCACTTTCCATCACAGGCTCCGGTGTTCCTCGCACTGCGCAAGGGCGGTAAATGCCAGCCAGCTGTTTATGCAGGCCATATTGCACTTTTTTGCAACAAGAGGTAACCAACACATCCCTTCTGCCCTCAAAGTTTTTAATGCTAAAGTTAGAGCCAAACTGTTCTATGGAATTTCAGTCTGGATGTCAGGGTTTACCCAGTCAGTGGAACAAGTGCAGGCAGCCTTTCTGTTGAAGATTTTCGCTGTCCCACACTGTGTACCTTATGCAGCCTTGTTGTGTCTAGAGGGAAGCCAACAGAAGCTAGAGACAGTTGCCTGGACGAGTTTTCTTTTATGCTGGCTAAACATTTGTTTTTCAGCAGACAAAGATACTTTACTTAGCAAAGTTTTGTCAGACCCCTTCCCTTCCCTTCTCCAGGGCTACAACTGTTTTGCACAAAGTTGGGGCAACTTGGGCTTTCAGAGGATCTCCTGGGTGCTGTGGCTTTTCCAATCGCCAAGGCCATGTTAAAAGTTAAAGAAAGTGAGCAGTTGGGTCCCACAAGGATCAGAACCGCTATTATTTCATTTATTCATTTTGTGATCTGGAATTAGTGCTGGAGACTATTGAAAAAGGAACTGAAAATGAAATGGTCAGTATTGTAATGTCCCTGTACAGTTCTATAGTGTGGTCCCATTTGGAATACTGTGTACAGTTTTGGGTGCCATCTCTCTAAAACGAATATGGCATATCTGGAAAAAGTGCAGAAGAGGGTGTTCTCGCTCTGTGTGGGATGGTCATTCTCTTACATGGAGTGTGTGGCTTTGGGGGGGGTGCACAGTGATGGGGATGGCAGGACACATTCCTTGCCAGTCTGATCAGCCAGATCAATCCTGGTGATCAACAGGGTGATAGATGTGGCAACCAGATTGCTCTTACATCTAGAATTGGGCAACCAAATGATTAAGGGGGTACAGTGCTTTTCCTTTGAGAAAAGGCTGAAGGGTTTGGAGATGTTCAGTCTATTAAAGGTCTATATAAGAGGGTAGCAAACACGACAGAGGTTAGAAAATTAAATAAGATAAAGTGGTTAGAGAGAACTTTTCGTCACTCTCCCAAAATACTGACCTCAGGGGCACCCAGCGAAAGGAAAAACCACTTTATTCCATGAGAGATTAAACTGTGGAGTTAACTGCATGAAGATTTGGTGATGGCCACAGGAAAAAAATATTATTGGGACAAAAATTCAGGCCCACTGGTCTTATGTACCCGTTTAAAATTAACTTTGGGAAATTATTCCAATAAAAGAGACCATGCCAAATATATAGAGCTTTCTTAGTGACATTTCTGAACAATTGCACAGAAAGGTAGAGACAGAGACACTGAATTAAAGCTGATCATTTAACATTTTCCTGTATAATTTTATATACATTTGTGCCAAGAGAAAGGAGAAATGGATATGGAAATGACCGGCAGAATCCGAGACCAGGGAGAAGAGTCGGTGGAAGAAGATTGGAAGAAATTTAAAGACTATTTACAGAAACACTGCAAAATCAATGAATGTTAGAATGATGTTGGATTGAAGTTAAGCGGTTTTTAGTAGCAATGTTATAAAGGAATATGTAAAATGGTTTGTTAACAGGTGATAATATAAGGCTATAATATATTAAGATAAAAGATTAAGATAAAATCAAAGAGGGAAAGGATTTGCTGAATTAACTAATTGAACTGGAATACAAAAAAGGGAGGTGTGAGGAGGTCAGGGAAACGAGCAAATGAAAGATAAGATTTGGAAAAACTGATCTGTTTTTAACTGTTTTTACTTTGTATTTTCTTTTTTCTTTTCTTTTTCTTTTCTTATTTTTGTAAAATGTTGAAACTTCAATAAATATCTTTTAAAAAAAAAGAAAGGAGAAATGGATAGAACTAGCAGGATACACACAGATGATAGGAGAACTGAGAAAGTCAGAGCTTGGGTTCGATATTTAAAAACTATAATTTAAACATTTACTGAACAGTCACAAAGATCAAATATGCACAACTTTCTTTTGCAGAGGTCATCCTGCAATTAACTAGCAGCCTCATGCAACCTTCTCCTCTGTCTGTCCACATGCTCATCACATGGAGACCTGAAAGCATAATGCAGAGAATTAGATGCTGAACTTACATTCTTCATTCCTCCTTTCATAACAACTTTCCCTAAACATTTATCTGATCTTTTAGGAAGACATTTCAGGCTTTAGGTGCCATCATAACACTAATGTTTCAAAATGATAACAACAGGGCATTTTTGACAACTGGAAAAGGCACTTCAGGTGTGGTGTGGCGGTTATGAGCGGTGGACTCAGTGGCGAAGCTGCAAGCTCTGGCACTGGGGGCAGAGAGCAGGTGAGTGCGTGGCTTGTGCGCATCCCAGGAGGCATGGAGTGAGTCTCGGGGCATGGTGCACTGCACGTGGGGGTGTGGTGTGCATCCCGGGGGCATGGCGAGCATCCTGGAGACGTGGTGTGCCGCCAGTGGGGACGTGGTGCCTAGCGCGCCAAGGGAGCGCGGCATGTGTCCGGGCGGGGGTGGCCGCAATGGCACCTCAACAGAATGGTGGTGCCGGGTGCGGTGGGTTCACTCCACACCCATTCCTCCTGAATGAAGAGGCAACTAAATGGGAAAATTGTTCCATCGTGACCTAGCTCTTTGGTCATGATCACCCTGGAGGCAAGAAAGGCATCTATTATGTGGTCATTTATCCAGTTTGATCCTTTCAGTGTGTCTATGTCATAACCATACACACAGATGTTGGCAACTGAACCCACAAGTTACTCGGTTTGTAGACTGAGTGTGTTGAAGGTACAGTTGTGCCATGGGGGAACTGATGTAGAAATCATTGGTTTGCCCAAATACTTCTCACTTTGCGTTGAGAATATGGGGCTTCTATCAAAAGAATCAATATTGGTCACTGTCAAATCCTCTTTCCCACTTTTTGGAGTGGAGGTCATCTGAGGTTGAGTGCTTTCCAGGTCTCTCATAGTCAGTCAGTGATCTGTTTTTAAGGAGTCCAGCTCCTCAGCAGCCTGCACTGAATCAGATGCTGGAACTACAGTTATCTTCTCCTTCAGTCTGGAGAACTTTCTTCCTGAGCTACTCTTCTGCCTTTTATTTTGCTTCAACTGTGTGAGCTGCAACCGGCAAGGCTTCCCTGGTTCTGGTGGCATGCCGACAGATTTTTTGGCAGCTATAATATGGTAGCAAGTCCTGGATGATGGGCAAGAGCAGCTCTCTTTCGGAAAAAGGCGGACAACATAATGCTTTCCCTTTACTACCCCTTACCACAAATACACCAAGCTATTAAATTGTTCAGTACCGTA